TCCTGAAGATGCCCGCGGTAGTGCATGGCAAAAGCGCAAGTGAAAGAAATGCTCATCTCACGACTAAACCCTGAAGGCCATGCATGAATTATGAGTGGCTGTGAAAATCTACACGTGAAACTGGTTTCACAAAACTTTACCTGTATTCACAAAATTTTACCTGCATTCAAGTTGTGTCTGTTTATGAAACAAAATATATATTCACGCTGAACACCGACTTTTACATTTGTAACATAAAATGTGTATTTGATACATTCGGATTAATTTTAGAAATGTAATGCCAGTTCCATAATGTGAAAAATGTGTGTTTTGTGATGTATATGCAGTAGGACACTGTTGAAAAAAGGAGTTTAACTGAATTAATAGCCTGACATTTTATCAATATTAAACGTTTCTCATAATCTATATTATTAGAATTCACTGTTGATACAGCATAAATATAAAGGGTCTGCTTCGTAGCCAAAAGGAAAATGACATTTAGGCACAATCAACCAAAAGGTTCCTTGGACCAACATTTTCCAGGAGCATTTGTTTAAGAAGGCAAGCTCTGAATTCATTATTATATTACAAGGCTCTTCAGAAAAAAATATGGCTTGCTAGACAAATGCTTCTGTTATTAAAACGGCTGTGAAAAAGTGCTTAATAGATCATCAGATTCCTCGAGTATAAATACAGATTCTTATTCTAAAGAAGATCCAACAACAAAAACACCCGTGTGAGCATAAAATATGCCAAAGAATCCCCCAGATAGTGCATAGACTCTCGGTGGATGTGCTGCTGTTAAAGCCTGCATATTGGTGGTGCAGCCAGCAGCACGCATGTCTATCCAGTGCCGGTATTTATACTGCAGCTGGTACTCCTTTGAGGGCGAGCCAACCTCGCGGAGGCCCAGGACACGTTCCGATACCATTTGACACAGATGTCATCCATGGCGAGGAATCTAACTCAGGTCAATGGGTTCGTAGTGCGATCTGCAAATCACTCTGTTTTCTCTGCACCCCCCCCCCCCCCCCCCCACTCTTTCTGTCTCATATATTATACTCATCAAATACACAACTACACACAAACACACATTTCTACATGATAACAGCATAGAGTTACTGGGCAGATACATAATGATACAAATAAGGATGCTCATCATAATATATCCTGACACACAACAAATTACAGCTGTTGTCAACAAAAGGAGTCCAACTTGAATTTAAAACTTCAGAGAACGAGGCAATAAAACAAAGCACAGCCTGTACACAATTTACCACAGCCCTTTGTTGCTACCACACACACTGTGATGAATGCTAGTCATTTTACAACTTCCCCAAGAAATAAAATATTCAGCCCACATCGAGGTCTCAAGATATTGCCATCCATTTGCACTGAAAATTAAACTTATGCTCATTTGAACATAAAATTAAACGCCGTGTCATGCATCAGACACACATTAAGACCTTTAGCTTCCATTTTCACTGGGGAAAAAAGTTAAGATTTGGAATCCGTCATTAATCCTCATGTTTTAAAGAACTGGATTTTGCGTAACAGTCGTAATCATTGCACTGAGCGCATTACATTGTGGCTGTATATTATCTCTCGGCCTTAATGGCTTAGAGTTTGTGACCTGTCGCTTGTAAATTTTCCATTCTTGGATTCAAGGCCAGGACCTATGAGACCGAGGCTGAGCCACAAGGCCAAGCCAAGGTCAAAGCCAGGAGTCTTTTAGATTAAGGTCAGTGTCAAGGCCAGTCAAGGCTGCATCCTCTAGGCTGAGGCCAGTGCCAAGGCCAGGACCTCGAAGCCAAGTTCTTGGACCGAAGCCACACACCCGAGGATAGGGGTCAAGGACAAGACCTAAGGAAATGTCCTGAAGCTGGCATTGAGGGCGAGGGCTGGTCTTGAGGACCCAAGACTGCAATTTTACGACACCAACATGCGAAACAGTGGCTTAAAGTTATAATTCCCAAACTACATCAACTCGAAATGTTTGAAAACTAGTAAAGTATGGCTCCTTTCATTTAGTCAACATAACATAAGTAAATCAGCATCACGAAGCTGCCTGTTTTACTACGACTACAAGTTTTTGTTTGCAAGTGGAAGAACTGCTGCTATTGTTCACTGTTTAGTCTCACTTGACTCTCTATGGAACTATATTAAGCATTTCAATATATTCTGAATCACTACAATTTCAAAGAATAAAATATATACAGTAACACCTCGATATTCGAGGTAAATGCATTCCTGGAGCATCGTTCGTATGTTTAAACTTCGTATGCTGAATATGTTATGACATTTGTACTATGAGGATGCGTTCCCAGCCTTTGTAATTTATTATTTCATACTATAAACACTTCATAACTTACCATTCATATTATAAACAAAGATAATTTATATTGAAAATAAAATTACATGTTATGTTGTACAGTATGAAAATAAAACATTAACTTAAATAGAATAAATATATTGAAGAGACTTAATTTTATTCGCATTTATATAGTACCAGAGATTGATACATGTAATGTTTATTTAGTTATTTGATTAATTATTTTAGTAAAACATTTTTTATCATTCAAATAATGGTAACCATTAAAATAATGGTAATCAATCCAAAGTTTGTTGTACTGTCAAATATTCTCACAAGGAAGTATTATGATAATACCCTTCTATCTGCCAGATAGAAGGGTAAAGAACCAATTATCATATTTTTACTGGCAAATGAGGTCCCCATAAGGAAGTATTACTTTTCTTCAATGTGAATAACTTCCAAGAAAATCCAGGCCACCACATTTGTAGCTGGAGCACCACCTGCTGTAATAACACTGCATCGTCTGGAAACTCGAAATGATATGCCCATGACAGGATGTTGGAGAAGTGTGAATGTACAAGCGAGAAGGACGGGGAAGATTAATCCTGAAATACGCGATTGCCCATTCTCACTGTGTGCCATAGCAGCAAATGTGTTGAGCTCAACTCGGAAGTCATCGTCATTCTGGTGGTCCTCCCTATATTTAGTTCCTCTCATATGGAGAAATAGATTTGATGGGGGCGGGCGGGGTTATTTTCTTTCATATTTGGATCCAAATCTCCTTCATCCACACGTTACAGACATAAGTTTTATATCAAATGGAAGCTATTAATCTTTGAATGTCACCTGCGGGAATGCAAACTATTCACGAGTGTCTTCTTGGTTCTTTCGGTAAAGTCACGTAGAAGGGAAATAATAAAATAATAAAAATAAAACATAATAAAATAATTGTCACGACGTTTCGGCCACAACGCAAGCAGCCGTCCTCAGGTGAAGAACGGGTCTGTCGGAAAGACAGCGTCTATTCGCGAGTGTTTGTCTGTTACCAAATATTTCAAAATTACTCGAAAGCCAGAGAGAGCGCCGCCTACTGGTGGGGCACGGGAAGCGATCGGCACGCGGCGGTGAGTCGTCGGCCACCGTGCACGATGGGAAGATACCCGAGTGTGTGCATCGCAATAAGAACAACTTGGACAAATAACGACGGTTAGGGTCAGACAATGAAGATAAGTGTATAAATTTCGATTTAAAGCTTTCGTGACTGCAGGGATTCATCTTCTTGGTTCTTTCGGTAAAGTCACGTAGAATGGAAATAATAAAATAATAAAAATAAAACAATAAAATAATTCTCAGAATTATTTTATTAAAAAGAAAACATAATAAAAGAATTCTCAGAATTATTGTATTATTTTATTTTTATTATTTTATTATTTCCATTCTACGTGACTTTACCGAAAGAACCAAGAAGAAGATAAGTGTACTGTGGGTCGTTTCAAATTGCCCAATCCGCATTTATTTATTTATTGTGCAGTGACCCTGCGTGTCACAAAACACGGCACAGGCAAAACAATTAAGATAGGGTGCAGCAATTAAGCGATTAGAATTCAAAGAAAAAATAAACTGTCACAGTGAAGATCCCGAGGCTCAAACTGGCAAACTAGAACAACGTAAAAGAGGATCCTATGGGTAGCAGGAGAGAATCTCCCTGCTGCCCTTCACAGCTCCCTTTGTAGTCTTTACAAACATTGCTGTATCCCGTGTTGGTTTACATGATAGTACAGTAAAACCTTGGATTGCGAGCATAATTCGTTCCGGAAACGTGTTTGTAATCCAAAGCACTCGTATATCAAAGCATTCGTATATCAGTTGTGATCACGTGACGCTCGGCAGACAAAGCGTGTCCGTACTTCTCGTATTGTAAGACCTCGCTCGTTTATCAAATTTATATTTATTTAAAAATTTTGCTCGTCTTGCAAAACACTCGCAGACCAAGTTACTCGCAATCCAAGATTTTACTGTACAATAGTCAACCTATATCTGCTTAATTTTCCTGAAGCCTAGATTTGTAATTAGTCCTATGATCAGTCAGGAGACAATCCACCTAATCCACTTTTCACTGCAGCGAACTTCATATTTACCTTTGATTAACATTGATTTGTGTTTATGTAATATTTCAGATTCCTTGCGTTATACGGTAGTTTTATTTTTATTTTATTTTAGGTTTGTTCTGATTGCTGTTTACTTCATTGCTGTACATTTGTTTGACTTCCCACCTGGTGCATCATAAAAAATAAACTTGAAAACGTAAACACCAGGACACACGTCAATGGCAGCAAAGCCAGAGTTGGGATAATAGTCAAGTCCTACCATGTAAGGGTGCGTGAAGGAGGCATGCAGACGCCATGGAATAATGATCGTGATTAGAAGGGCAACACCTCATATAATCAAAGGTGAACACCTACAGACACTCAAAATCTTAAAATAAGGCTGGGGATTCAAGAAATAGTAAAAAATGTCAAGGCATCATGCACAAGCAGGCATAGTCAGGTGCTAATCTCTGTTGGTGGTAGAGTCTGTGGCTGAAATCCTACATTCCTAAGGCAGGGAGGGGGCCAGTCTATCCATACGACAAGGAATATGCCAGAATAAGAGCTGCCGTGAAAATGTGTGCGCATGTGACGATGTGGTGGTAGAGGGTGGGACTTGCCACGCCGATGGAGAAGTAGTTGTTGATGATGGAGTAAGGTACAGGGTCGCCCTTTTCGTCGAGATCCGTGGCAACGACCTCGATACTCCAGCGGTCCAGCATGAGCGGAGTGCTGTTCTCCACGTCCTTCAGGGTCTTGCGCAGGCTGCCGCCCTCATAACCTGAAACAGACCAACATCTTAAGCCTGCCATCCCTTTGAGGGCGATAAAAATAAATACCACGTTGTAGGACGTGTAGAGTGGTAACAATGTGCAGATAATGGTCCCCCCCTCCACCAGAATTGCGTGAAATTTCCACCATTTGCTACTGATAGAGATAAGTGCCGCCTCATTGCGCTTTGTCTGTAAAAGCAGGGCATTGTGTGTTGTGCCAAAGCCCAATCTCACTCGGCCTGCAACTAAACATAACAGAATTTTAAGAATAATATTCACAGGAGTAGACTGTTCCCACAGTGGTTGTTCGTACACTGAACTATGAACCAAAGGAAACTAGTTCGATTCCCGGCAATGGCTAACATCATTGGCAAGTGAAATCTGAACCAAGTCCTAGATGCCTCCTTCATCAACCTGCACTGACAAATATGGTGAAGTATAGTTAAACACCCCTCGTGATCGACATGGTGTAGGAATCTCCAGCAGAAAGTTAACAAAAGGGCTGTAAATTATTTAATGACTATCAGAATACTCACAACAAACTGTTATTTCAATGGTTAATGAAGTTTGTTGCAGTATACATGGTGTATCCCAAATAAATGAACATTAATATGTTCAAGGCATTTTAGTTAGCATTGGAAATGGATTCGTGCTATTGAGTGCTTAAACACTAAAATGGCATCTCAAAGAACTTTACAATGCAAACAAGAATAAAAAAAAACACATTGAGGGAAACAAAAGAACATTTCAAGAGGAATAAGAAACTGAAGAAGAAACACATTTTTGATGTCCCCCCTGCTCTGCAACCTCCGATTCACACAGTCGGATACGCATGATGCGAACAAAGCTGAACATGCATACATAGGGGAATGGAATCATGAAAGGCACCTGTACATACACACAACACAGGGTGCCACAGTCCAGAAAACGAATGATGTCCAAGAAAAAGGTCCAATAACAGGTAACGGGACAGGATAGCACGGACACCATATTAATACTCTTAGTTCTTTCGGTAAAGTCACTACGTAGGTAAAAAATGAAATTAAAATTAATAAAAAATAAAATAATAAAAATCACGACGTTTCGGAGGCAACACAAGTCTCCGTCATCAGGTGGGACCGTCACAGCCAGATTTGTTGCATCAAGTGAGGCAGGGATGCAGCAAATCTGGCTGTGACGGTCCCACCTGATGACGGAGACTTGTGTTGCCTCCGAAACGTCGTGATTTTATTATTTAATTTTTTATTAATTTTAATTAAATTTTTTACCTACGTAGTGACTTTACCAAAAGAACTAAGAGTATGAATCCTTGCAGTCACGAAAGCTTCAAATCTAGAACCATATTAATATATTACAATGCATGTAGGTTTCGTCAATGTGAGCATTGGAGGACCGTCGCTTACCGCCACCCCAGTGCAGACACCGAGCCAGATCATTTCCTGTGCCAAGAGGAAGGACTGCTACAGGTGGACGCTTTGGCAGAGAGAGTTTGTCTGGAAAAGAAAGTGGTGTCAGTACAGATATAACTCATCCACTACATCGAACGCTATTTTGACAAAGTTGTCATAATGACGTATGATTCTGCAGTGCCGATAGGAAATTCATTCATTTGTTACGTACCGATGCAGTCCAAAACCCAGCCCACAGTGCCGTCTCCACCGCAAGTGAGCACTCGGAAATCGGGGACGTCACGAAAGAAGTTCAATCTGTCAAAAAATGTAGCATAAATTAAGGGACGATCTCACATACAATGCACTGTATAGTCAGTCAATATAAGCATAGCTGCTCCATGTATATGCTAGGCTGTAGCCAAGGCGACATATGCACGTAGCTCCTCAGTATATGTTCGAGGCTTTACATTAAACGTTTCTGTGTGTGTAGCTTGGGCTTGTGTCTGCTCTGTGCATCCCAGCCATTGCATTGGCACGGGTAAGAGCCAAGCCCAGGCCAGCCTCCACTAGGCCATCCATGCCCCACGCGCCCTCCCATCTTGCCTGAACACCACATCGGTATCATGCTGGGAATCAGGCAAATTCTATTTCAAAGGATATTCTGATCAATACCGGTCGGCAGGTATTGCAGTCAATTCCAGCAGACCGGCAGCACCAAACGTACTTAAAATATATGGCAGATACTTAGGTAATACGTTTATTGGCTAGTATCAACACCAATACCCGCCAGCCAGTATCACCACAATTGCCATTGAAACATTACATAGGCATCGCCATGAATTTCCATCGTGATTTCAATAGGCCCTCCAGGTGCCAAGGGCCCACCCTTCTTGCCTGAATATCATGCTGGACTCCCCACAGCCTGGTCCCTCACAGCGATTCCATAATGCAGCCAATCCCACCATCCCAGAGACAATTGTATTTGATACTAAGATTGGGCTGGCGACTCCAGGCTAGAAATTATGAGAATCATCCAACTATAGTTTTTACCATCGTGTGTCATACCAGCAGCTTAGTAACAGAACTAGGCCCATTAGTATGAAGACTAAATGCCACTAAATTAAGGAAAACATTACACGATGTGTTAATTTGTCAAAAGTATATGTGAGTCTACCACATGCAAGAAATGAAGAGCTATGTTCTCATGAAATGGCTTTAACGATATGGGTCACATCTGCAAAATGTTTCTTATAGACCAGTGGCTGAACAGTGAGTGCTCTATCATTGGTTCATGTCTTGATGGAATGCAAGACGTCATCTGCAAGATTCCTGGCATTTGCATGCTAAGTATTTTGAAAACACTGACATTCAACAAAACATGCTTTTATACGGACCATCTATTGTCTCCTCTTCTTGGTTCTTTCGGTAAAGTCACGTGACTTTACCGAAAGAACCAAGAAGATGAATCCCTGCAGTCACGAAAGCTTTAAATCGAAACATCTATTGTCTGTTTGTGGGTTTGTTTGTGGGTTTGTGTCTCTTCAAGCACTTGCGAACAATTTGCCTCTCCAACGGTGGGGTTTACGTGAAAAATAAATAGCCGGTACCACGCCGTAAGCCCCGTGGTGAGCAAGTGCTATTCCTTTTTCACATCCGTCAACTTAAAATTTGTTTAATTAGCGATTTAGTGCGATTTGTGCACGCTTAACATGTATTTATTTATTTATGACGCGTGCACGACCATACCAACTCACGCGCCTTAAAAATGCTATAAAAAATACACTAAAAGCTGACGTTAATTCTTCACTGTGTGATGTCCCCCCCACCCCGATGCGTGCAGTTATTACTACTATACAGTCGCTAGATGCTACCACTATAGGCCGTAGATATTACTGCAGAGCGGCCGGGGAGATCGTAGCTGGGGGGGGGGGGGGGAGGTCAGGTGTAGCAGCCCAGCCTGCCAAGGTGCCACCTCGGCCGGCTGGACATTCTAGGCAAGGCCGGAGGCTCTGCACGGGACTAGGCCTCACCACACCACTCTGTCAGGTGAGTACTTTGTGCTATAGAGTCGATAAAAACTGCTATAGAGTCAGCATGTACTACTGCAGTGAAAGCAGGTACCACCACAGTATGCACTGCTGTAATCATAGCAGTACCACCACAGTATGCACTGCTGTAATCATAGCAGGTACCATCACAGTCAATACGCACTGCTGTTAGATTTTTAAGAGAAGTTTTTAAATATTTTTAAGACCCGAGCAATGCCGGGTACTTCCCGCTAGTTTAAACTAAATCGGCGTTGTAACGTTTCTTATAAGTGAGAGTCTGCGTTGTGCATAGCCAATAATCGAACCTGGATCACTGATGCCATAACGCGGTGAGCAGTGCGTTAACCATGAAGCAATTGCTCCAGCTTTCATATAACTCCGCTCACATAAATACGCAACCATGCACACACGCACATATATGCACGCGCACACGCGCATATGCACCCGCACGACTGAACTTGCTTTTCTCATAGATTTTCCCTGTACTGCTACTAACTTTTTAACAATAACTTCTGCTGTCACAGATGTCCAATCATCTATAAGGATTCATGAAATTAAGAGAGAGAGACTATAAGTATATAAATCAGAGTATACGATTGAGACCAAGACTTGTAGAGTTGAAGCTCTCATTCAGTTACAACTGGTTGGATCATGCAGGGGCCTCCATGCAATTCTGTTTCAGTGGTTTTGTATGCTTTGCATTTTCACGTACCCTGGAAATGGACCGCCTTTATTGAGGTTATACACTTGCCGAGGATTGAGAAGGTATTGAAACTTTCGGAGAATTCTGCAAAAATTGAGTGAAACAACGTTAATGAAAAACCTAAAATTTGGAATGCACGTTTGCTATCTATCAAATCATTGGTTAGAAAAAATATATTCACAAGTTGTGACAATGCTTTATAGCTGTTACAACAGTCTTAAATATAAAATATCCATTTTGTTCAAATTACTAATGACAGTACTGTGCATGCAATGTCTTCTTCAGTGTTAAAATAAGAAAATTACAATAAATTTCGATAAAATTTGCTTATATTTTGATTAAATAATAGTTAATTTGAAGTGAATCAAACTGTATTCATTCAAGCTGATTAACTTACAAATCGGTTCTCTTTAATAATTACCAGACAAGCCATGTACCATGATTTCTATGTATTTTATAACTTGTGCCATATTATAACTGTCTGTGATTGGGTAGAAAATGTCACATGTAGTTGCTTTCAATAACAAAACATTTGTTAACTGCATCCAAAATACATTTATTAAAAAATACATATACATGTGTATAGTGTTCACACAAATACCCAATGGAAAATGTTACACTTTCAAATATTTTTTATGAACTTTTATTGAAAAAATTGAACTTACTATAATACAAATATGAATTACAAAACCATTAAGCTGCATTCCTACGTGAGATTGTCACCAATTGATGGATTAGCCTATAAAATAAAGCTAAAATATTAACTCTGTCAAACGGTGCAACAAATGTTTGAAACATATCGGCTTAGATATTTATGCATACTGCGTTGCAAAGTAATTTTTTTATTCATATAAAATTAAATTATGTATTTTGTTAAAGCCATTTAGGCAAAATGAAGGTTATAATTGAACTTCAAGGGTAACTACAGCAAGCTTAATGAAAGCTGTGTACGTGTCATAATATGTATTTTATTGGAACAAACATATACAATTTAATTATGTAAATATTAATTAGGAGGAATTCAATATATCCAAAGGTTTCTTTGAGCAAATGAGTTTGTTTAGCCATGTATTGTCAGTGCTCTCTTACTTTTCTCCTTGTTTGCCTCCACTTTTTGGATTGACAAAAACGAGCAAGGGGTGGGTGCCAGTAGTAGGTGTAATCTACAGACACATGCAAGAAAATATCATCATGCAATAATAAACCACACAATCAACGTAAAGTTGGAAAAATCATCGCTGCGATTTTGTTTTGGAAACAAATTAATTTCAAATGCTTTAAATGTTGTTCACCAAAACGTTGCCTTGACACAAGATATATGTGACTCAGTAAGATGCCGTGATGATGTAAGAGTGGCACTTGGGGGTGCAACAGTTGAGAAAGTCGGCAGAAGAAAAGAAATAACGGCACGGTACGGTGATACATATGACATCGGTTGTGTTGAACTCTTGCACATGATTAGCTGCTACCTAATATACACTACTTAACTATAACACAATACTTATCGACTATATATTAAGTTTGCATAGCTACAATGTCGTAACAAATATCACACAATAGAACTTATCTATTTCGAAGCATTGCCTTTCAGTGCAGGCTCCACAAACAAAATCATTTTCCAGCTAAATAAACTTCCTCAATCTACCAAGCATGCACTCAATTGGGGTGACATGTGCAAAAGTCTCAAACATAAAACATTTTCTGAGCAGCAGTGTCATGTTTGAATGTTATACGGTGGTCGAGAGTGAAACAACTATCTCATGCTCTATACGCTGTACCTGATGGACAACGTGCATATCAGATGTATTAGGCGAACGTGTGTGTGTGTGTGTACACTCTGCGGTGTTTTGAGCACACCATGTTGCTGTGGCTTGACAAATGCTGATGGTGCCAATGCATAGAAGAAGAATATCGTAGGCAGTAAATGTTGTTGGCACATTCCTGTATGTACAGGTTAATTACAAATGGGGGGAGGTTATAATTAATGCAAATCAAATAAAGAAACGTGAGCATTATACTTCAACTGACATTTGACAGAATGGTTCAAATATGATTGGGATGCATCTGTTGCGACAGAGCATCATAAAATGTAATTCTCATTTGGCCCCATATCTACTCTCTTTGGCCTTGCTATGTGTTATGTAATGTAGACCATTGCCCAGTATGTATTTATGAATGTTAAACTTCTTTTGCACCGTACATAGCCAACCGTGCTAATTTGAAGCCTAATCTATACTTTTCCTTTTAACATAATGTCATCAATGCATGTGTTGTTGTTTTTTTCAAACAAAGAAACACCAGCAGTAATACCAGAGGAAGAATACTTTCACAAGTGCCAGTGAGTCAATCTTTGCATCTGTGTGTTATTAATATTGAGTGGTTGATTGCTGCACCACCCAAAAGCACGTCTGCAGGCATGAAGAGCATATTGCCAGATGACCCGCTGAATATAAGACTTCTTATACACTCACTAAGAAATCTGAGAATACTAAAAATGTATCTGACAGTGTGACTGAATAGTGGCAGACACGGAGGCGCATGGTAAGCAAAACACTCGCTCACAGCACACGGAGGGCAGATCCAGATGTCTCAAATGCCACTGCAGGAAAGTGGAAGGTTCACTCACGAGTGACCTGGGAGCGTGTGGTATACAATTGATGATTATTGCATGAACAACCTCTCAACCTAATTTATTACAATAAAACATGTTAGATGTTAAGAAGAGTCACAAGAAAACTTAGAACAAATCTGTATTGATCAATACAGAGTTGTAAACACTACATTTGAAAACAACTAAGATTTTTTTTTTTTTTTTACAATTGTGCATGATGAGGCTTGCGGAATAACATGTATTCACCATGAAGAAGCGGGATTACCAGAGGTGTGGACTCGAGTCATGTGACTTGGACTCGAGTCAGACTCGAGTCATGAATTTGATGACTTCAGACTCGACTTGGACTTGCATAACAATGACTTTGTCCCACCTCTGAGGTGTGGACTCGAGTCATGTGACTTGGACTCGAGTCAGACTCGAGTCATGAATTTGATGACTTCAGACTCGACTTGGACTTGCATAACAATGACTTTGTCCCACCTCTGAGGTGTGGACTCGAGTCATGTGACTTGGACTCGAGTCAGACTCGAGTCATGAATTTGATGACTTCAGACTCGACTTGGACTTGCATAACAATGACTTTGTCCCACCTCTGAGGTGTGGACTCGAGTCATGTGACTTGGACTCGAGTCAGACTCGAGTCATGAATTTGATGACTTCAGACTCGACTTGGACTTGCATAACAATGACTTTGTCCCACCTCTGAGGTGTGGACTCGAGTCATGTGACTTGGACTCGAGTCAGACTCGAGTCATGAATTTGATGACTTCAGACTCGACTTGGACTTGCATAACAATGACTTTGTCCCACCTCTGAGGTGTGGACTCGAGTCATGTGACTTGGACTCGAGTCAGACTCGAGTCATGAATTTGATGACTTCAGACTCGACTTGGACTTGCATAACAATGACTTTGTCCCACCTCTGAGGTGTGGACTCGAGTCATGTGACTTGGACTCGAGTCAGACTCGAGTCATGAATTTGATGACTTCAGACTCGACTTGGACTTGCATAACAATGACTTTGTCCCACCTCTGAGGTGTGGACTCGAGTCATGTGACTTGGACTCGAGTCAGACTCGAGTCATGAATTTGATGACTTCAGACTCGACTTGGACTTGCATAACAATGACTTTGTCCCACCTCTGAGGTGTGGACTCGAGTCATGTGACTTGGACTCGAGTCAGACTCGAGTCATGAATTTGATGACTTCAGACTCGACTTGGACTTGCATAACAATGACTTTGTCCCACCTCTGAGGTGTGGACTCGAGTCATGTGACTTGGACTCGAGTCAGACTCGAGTCATGAATTTGATGACTTCAGACTCGACTTGGACTTGCATAACAATGACTTTGTCCCACCTCTGAGGTGTGGACTCGAGTCATGTGACTTGGACTCGAGTCAGACTCGAGTCATGAATTTGATGACTTCAGACTCGACTTGGACATGCATAACAATGACTTTGTCCCACCTCTGAGGTGTGGACTCGAGTCATGTGACTTGGACTCGAGTCAGACTCGAGTCATGAATTTGATGACTTCAGACTCGACTTGGACTTGCATAACAATGACTTTGTCCCACCTCTGAGGTGTGGACTCGAGTCATGTGACTTGGACTCGAGTCAGACTCGAGTCATGAATTTGATGACTTCAGACTCGACTTGGACTTGCATAACAATGACTTTGTCCCACCTCTGAGGTGTGGACTCGAGTCATGTGACTTGGACTCGAGTCAGACTCGAGTCATGAATTTGATGACTTCAGACTCGACTTGGACTTGCATAACAATGACTTTGTCCCACCTCTGAGGTGTGGACTCGAGTCATGTGACTTGGACTCGAGTCAGACTCGAGTCATGAATTTGATGACTTCAGACTCGACTTGGACTTGCATAACAATGACTTTGTCCCACCTCTGAGGTGTGGACTCGAGTCATGTGACTTGGACTCGAGTCAGACTCGAGTCATGAATTTGATGACTTCAGACTCGACTTGGACTTGCATAACAATGACTTTGTCCCACCTCTGAGGTGTGGACTCGAGTCATGTGACTTGGACTCGAGTCAGACTCGAGTCATGAATTTGATGACTTCAGACTCGACTTGGACTTGCATAACAATGACTTTGTCCCACCTCTGAGGTGTGGACTCGAGTCATGTGACTTGGACTCGAGTCAGACTCGAGTCATGAATTTGATGACTTCAGACTCGACTTGGACTTGCATAACAATGACTTTGTCCCACCTCTGAGGTGTGGACTCGAGTCATGTGACTTGGACTCGAGTCAGACTCGAGTCATGAATTTGATGACTTCAGACTCGACTTGGACTTGCATAACAATGACTTTGTCCCACCTCTGAGGTGTGGACTCGAGTCATGTGACTTGGACTCGAGTCAGACTCGAGTCATGAATTTGATGACTTCAGACTCGACTTGGACTTGCATAACAATGACTTTGTCCCACCTCTGAGGTGTGGACTCGAGTCATGTGACTTGGACTCGAGTCAGACTCGAGTCATGAATTTGATGACTTCAGACTCGACTTGGACTTGCATAACAATGACTTTGTCCCACCTCTGAGGTGTGGACTCGAGTCATGTGACTTGGACTCGAGTCAGACTCGAGTCATGAATTTGATGACTTCAGACTCGACTTGGACTTGCATAACAATGACTTTGTCCCACCTCTGAGGTGTGGACTCGAGTCATGTGACTTGGACTCGAGTCAGACTCGAGTCATGAATTTGATGACTTCAGACTCGACTTGGACTTGCATAACAATGACTTTGTCCCACCTCTGAGGTGTGGACTCGAGTCATGTGACTTGGACTCGAGTCAGACTCGAGTCATGAATTTGATGACTTCAGACTCGACTTGGACTTGCATAACAATGACTTTGTCCCACCTCTGAGGTGTGGACTCGAGTCATGTGACTTGGACTCGAGTCAGACTCGAGTCATGAATTTGATGACTTCAGACTCGACTTGGACTTGCATAACAATGACTTTGTCCCACCTCTGAGGTGTGGACTCGAGTCATGTGACTTGGACTCGAGTCAGACTCGAGTCATGAATTTGATGACTTCAGACTCGACTTGGACTTGCATAACAATGACTTTGTCCCACCTCTGAGGTGTGGACTCGAGTCATGTGACTTGGACTCGAGTCAGACTCGAGTCATGAATTTGATGACTTCAGACTCGACTTGGACATTGCATAACAATGACTTTGTCCCACCTCTGAGGTGTGGACTCGAGTCATGTGACTTGGACTCGAGTCAGACTCGAGTCATGAATTTGATGACTTCAGACTCGACTTGGACTTGCATAACAATGACTTTGTCCCACCTCTGAGGTGTGGACTCGAGTCATGTGACTTGGACTCGAGTCAGACTCGAGTCATGAATTTGATGACTTCAGACTCGACTTGGACTTGCATAACAATGACTTTGTCCCACCTCTGAGGTGTGGACTCGAGTCATGTGACTTGGACTCGAGTCAGACTCGAGTCATGAATTTGATGACTTCAGACTCGACTTGGACTTGCATAACAATG